GTAGGAACTCAACCCATGCTTGTTGAGTCTTGTTTCTGTGAAAGACATTTACCTGACAGCAGATGGCTGTTGTAACGTTTCAGGGAGATCTACAGGAAAAATCTGTAATTTTTTTTTTTTAAGGAATTTATAGGTTTTTCCTTTATGGCAGCGGTTCTCAACCTGTGGGTCGCGACCCCTTTGGCGGTTAAACGACCCTTTCACAGGGGTCGCCTAAGACCATCCTGCATATCAGATATTTACATTACGATTCATAACAGTAGCAACATTACAGTTATGAAGTAGCAACGAAAATAGTTTTATGGTTGGGTCACAACGTGAGGAACTGTATTTAAAGGGCCAGAAGGTTGAGAACCACTGCTTTATGGCTACCATGAAACTTGTAACTGATCATGTAATTATCCTGAATGGACTTCTGAGAACCTGAGAATTGAGTGTGATCAACTTTAAACAGCACGGGACTTTCTGCTTATATGATCCTGTAGCTTCATTTTATTATCCAGTCCTGATTTTTCCCCCTTTGCCTTAATTGCTTCATTCAATCTTGTGCTATGCTATAATATGTCTAATATGCACAGAAATATACATACTGTATAATAATATGTATTTTTATCAGCCACCAGAAATCCTTTTAATTAGGACATTTTTAAACAAGCAATAGCAAAATGATTTGTGCCCCTAATTAGTGGTGTGTGTTTTTCTCTCTAGAGTAACTTATTTTTTTTATTGATCTCTCTTTTGTAATACTATGTTAATTGTCTCCAAATGAGATGCTGGGGTCTCTTAAAAATGAGTGGGCAAAATGGGTGAAGATGAATGATACAAAGATATAAATGTCCAGTTATAAAATAAATAAATCAAGGGAATGTAATATACAAATAGTGACTATAGTTAATATCATCTATTGGAAAATTGCTAAGTAAATCTTTAAATTTGTCATCACAAGAAAAAAGTTGCAACTTTGTGTGATGGTGGATGTTAACTGGACTTATTGTGGTGATCACTTCGCAACATATACGAAATCAACTCATTATGCTGTACACCTGAAACTAATATGTCATATGTCAATCTGGCCTCAATTGAAAAATAAATAAAAGTTAAAAAAAATGAGTGGAAGAGGCCACTGGTTTTATTTAGAAGGACACTCTCTGCTCGATGGCCCCAGCTTTTCTTTTCTTTTTTCCTTTCACGTTGGCTTTGTATGCTGGCCTCTGTATTCTGCAGCCCATCTCCTCATCCCCACCCCACTGCCCACAGACAACACTCCGTGGTCCTTAACAATACCCGGGCCACCAGGGAGTCCAGCACATGGCACGGTCCATGCCCGAAAGCCCTGGACATGGTAAATTGTATAACTACCCACTCTCTGGTTTGTTTCAGGGGAGCTGACAGGTCTGTGTGGAAAACCTCGCAGAGTGGTATGCTGAAAAGAAATAATCACACAGAGCCTCCCCTGGGGAGCACTGAGGTCCACATCATTAATCTTTGTAACACTCTGATGGGAGAGGCAGGAGGCGAGTCCGCTCATCCGGTGTTTCAGAGAGGGGGACGTCGAGGATCCTCATGACTTTGATTAAATTTTGTTTTAAATCCTAGCTCTAGAAATCATCTCTGTCTTTCTGTCTATATCCCTCAGAGACCTAGTCTTTCCCCCTGATAATCAACATCCCCTAAGGCAGCAGAGGAAGGTTGCCCAGACCTGCCTAATGGTCACAGTCCCAGACCCCTGGCAGCTAAAGATAAACTTCTTGATGTAAGTTGTGTTTCAGCTCCTGAGCCCTAAGATGAAACAACCCCCTGGCTACTTGTTTAAGAAACCAGACAGAGAGACACTGGAGAGGACCTCAGAGCTGTTCTCAAGACCTGAAGAAATAATTCACCACCCTTACCTCACCTCTGACCAATCAGCTCCCAGCAAGACCCAAACCCCTCACGACTTTGCCCTGTATAATCTGTAACCTACATGCCATCGGGGAGTTTGGGCTTCGAGCATTAGCTTCCCGTTCTCCTGGGTGGCACCATTCATTACAAAACAGACAATATTTCTCCACTGCAGTTCTCAGGTGTCGAGTTTTGGGCTCTGCTGGTGCCAGGAGGATGAACTTTCTGTTTTGTAACAAGGAAATGGGGAGGGAGAAAGTCAGGGTGTCAGGAGAGCAAACCTAAGACTCTGGAGGTCCCTATTACACTCAGCCTCATTCTGACATGTCCCATGCAGGCTGCAGCCTGAGCAGATGCAGGCTTTGTCTTTTACAGGAGTGTTTACCTCCTCAGGGGACTGTTATCCATACATGGCCAGTCACATCTCCTTCTGCTTGGCTCTGCTCTCTAGCCAGCCCCTTAAGTCCCATGCTGAATGTCACACTGTCAGTAGCTGCCAATTCATTTAAGTTCCAGGCTTCCAGGCAAAGGTTTTCAAGAGGTCCCTGCTGCAGCTCACCTCGTTCATAAATGCTCCGACCACCCTTGGGATTGCCTCCCCTGGCAAACCCAGGCTGTTAGCTTGGCCTGGGCACCTTCTCTGACACCTCATTCTTATCTATGCTCAGTGTAAGGGGCTGAAAATAAGGAGGCAGCAAAGTTGGCTTGGCCCCGATCTTCTGCCACACAACTGTGTATATGGACAGTTTTGCTTTTATCAACTACAGCCTGAGTTACTTTCTCTGCAAGGCAGTGTGTCCCCATGTGTGGCTTACTAACTATTTAATGAAGCTGATAGCTAATCCCCTACATGGGTCTCTATTATCTGCAGAATTAGCATCCACAGTGCAGCAGTAGAAAAACAAAAGGAGTAAAGATGGGGGGAAAGATAGCAAGATATTAAAATAGAGTAATTGGTAAGCAAATAAAATCACAACCTGCTAGAAAATGGCCTCTTCCCTGCAAGATGAAGATTAAACACTTTTGTGGGTCAATCTGGAAGTGATACACTCTTTATAAATTCTAGGGTGGGTTTATTTTTCATATGCTTGTCTCTTTAGGAACCCAAACAACAGTTGTGAAATAAACTCTTATATAGCCAGAAAGGGAAAGCTTAAAAGTTAAAACTGAAATTTCTGTGCAATGATTTATGTAAAAAACAACAACAATAGTTAGTGTCTACTGAGCACTCAATATATCCCTGGCACTATAAAAAACGCTTTATAGGCATGACCTCATTTAATACTCACAGATATTTATGAGGGAGGTTTCCCCATTTCACAAATGAGAAAACTGAGTTTCAGAAAAGTTAAAGGTAACGTGCCCAAGTCCACACACCTAGGAAGCTCACAGCCTGGGTTTGAATCTAAGGTGTGTTGTTGTTTTTTTCCTGACTACGTAACAGCCACTCTCAGGTTTTGCAAACATCTGAAGTACCCTCTGAATCACTATGTGAAAATACACTTATTTTGTGTAGTGCTGTATTTAAATATTTGTGTGGTTTATGGTCTCCCATGTCTAGGTAAGATTTGCAGGGGGTGAAAAACACCTCACTGAACCAACAAGTCAGACTCATAGCTTCAAGGACTATTGTGAGTGTCAAATAAAATCATAAATGTGGAAAATCCTTTGGAAAATATAGAAGCATTCTGCAGAGGAATGAGGATGTCATTGCTGTTAAAAATGTCGAGGTGTATGTGACAGGCACGGTAATTCTCAGTTGATCAGACTATTTTGAATCAGAACACCTGCCTACCTAACCAGTTAGCACCCCCATAACTTGTGACAAGCTACCTCCCACCTCATGGTCCTGGGGCTGGAGTTAGACATTACAACCTGGCGCTCTTCCTACCATCTCTGGGCCAGACCACTTGCTTGGCACTTCGGGGCACGTTTATATCGTAAGCTTCTCGTTATCAGAAGAGAACTCCTAACGTGCAATAAAGTGTTAAGATGCAGACATATACGAATTACAGCCGAGCCCCCACCACATGCGCTGATGGACGCCCCCAGCCTGGTTTTCAGGCTACCCATACAGCGCTGTGTTAACTGGATGGGGTTGGGGGTGGACCTTCAGCCTCTCACCTGATCTTCCAGGAGTTTCCAGCTCTCACGTGTGACATATAAACAGCATTCAAGCGGCTCAGGGTAAGAGGATTTAGAACCCCTGGAAAGAGCCGCTGAGAGCTCATTACTGAATGGAGCGGCCCTGCTAACGAATGAAGCGAAGCGAGCCGGGAACTTTCTCCTGGGATTCTAACGGGGGCAGACTAGCGATCGGGCGTGAGAGGCAGTTTGGAAAAGCAGTATTAGTCTCCCCACTACCTCCTTCCTCCGTTCAGGGAGAAGGCGGCGGGAAAGCCCAGGGCAGGCGCTCCAGGAGGGAAAGCCAACGTCCTGGTCCTGGTCATTAGAAGCCAACTGACGACAGGAAGGAAGCGTGTTAACCCCTCGGCCCCCCTTCTCCCTGGGGGAGAAGCGGCTCCTCCTCCTCTTGGTCGGGCGACCCTGGTGTAAGATGCGAGCAGCCGTCCGCTTTCCGCACCCTGCCCTCCGCTCAGCCCAGGACGGAGGCAGGAGGGAGCGCGCAGCGCAAGGCTGAGTCCAGCGAGTCTGGTGACAGCGTGACCATCCCGCCCGCGACGTGGACCCCGTCACCCTCCAGGTCGTTCACCAGCCGGTCTACGGAATTTGCACTCTGCACCCCAACTCCTAGCCTGGTCCCCCAGCAGCCCAGCCCCTGTGCCTTCGCAGGTGGCGCAAACGCCCCTGCCCCCCGGCGCCCCCTGCCGGGGAGAG